TCAGAGATCCATCTAGTCTTAACCCTGAGTCCTAGGATTAAAAGTGTGTGTGTACCCCTAGCTCCTAGCTTCTGGCTGCTGGGATTAAAGGCATGTGCCTGGCTTCTGTATCTTGTGGCTGACTTTGCTTTCTGAATCCTCAGACAAGCTCTAATAAATCATAAATAATATGTCACTACACTGGACCTGGGCAGTAGCTGGGTTGGTCAGACTGTTAGCTGTCCCTCAATGTCCCCACCAGGACCGGCTCCCAGCCCTGCCCCAGCTAGTTCATCCCCTGCAGTAGGCAGCAAGGAGTGGGGCCACTTCTGTTCTCAGACTTCCAGCCCAGCTTTCCTGATTTCACATCTCTAGGACCAGCTCTACTGTTTTGTCCAGGCGAGTTATATGGCCCGCTCTCCCAATTGCTGCCGTTGGTGAGGGACAGGGCCAGCTCTCATGTTCTCATGCCCCCAATGCCAGCTCTTCCTTCTGCTGCAGTTGGCAATGAGTGGGGGCACATTTCCCTAATCTATGCCACCACAAGGCACACCAGGGAGGGGGCAGGTGCCACTCTCCTGCTGTCATGTCCACAGGACAGCCTCACCTGTGCCCTCATCAACACAGTCACCTCTAGTGTGCTTCCCGAGTGAGGTACAGGGCCTACACTCCTGTGTGCTGCAGCCAGTGAGGGCAGGAGAGTTGGCCTTGGGGTCGTGAGAGTCAGAGAGCAGGTCCTGCCCCTCACCAACTGTCTTCTTTATGGTATCCGAGGGCCCCCTCGCTGAATGGATGCTTTAGGTTTCATTTGATGAAGCTGATATTCCAGGCTGCATGAGAAGGGATATTGGATCTGAGGCAGGACATTGGACAAGACTGCTGCCTGAGGTGATCTGCGACAAGGGGAAATGTCTCAGATCTCACCTTGCACAGTCATTGCTTCTGGCTCCATTCACTTGGTTACTTCTTGGGCTGGAGTCTTATATATCTCGCAGAGAAACTCACAGACATTTCTGCCCTACTGTGACATCTGTTCTCAACTGTGTGCTTCCAAATGCTGAATCTGGTTTGAGTGATACCCCTGAACTTCACCTCACTTGGGCCACTACTGAAGGGCAGTTTGACTTTCTTCTCCACTCTTGTTCGCTTTACTGACACTAAACAGCCTTTTCCAGACTTTACCCTGATGTGAACCCAGATTTCATAATCTAGCAGAACCCAGGAGATAGCACTGCAGAACCTGGGAGATATTACCACGTATAAAAACACCTTAGCTTAGCACACTGTACGCCGAAGTATGGAAAGAAAACATAGCTACCTGATAATTTCCAGTAATATATTTCAGATACATTGTAATAAAGGACAATGGATAATAGGACGAGCATCACTGCACCTAGGAAATAAGATGACATCCGTCCTCAAAGCCTTCCTTCCTCTTGTCCCCACACAGTTGTTTTTCCTTGCATCGGGCGTTAAATCTGTTCTGATATTTGCCATGTGATTCCATACACACTCCGCCTTCCCTGCCTTTCTTTGTTTTAGCTTCACATGTTAGAGACTGAGGGCAGTTAAACACAGTGGTTAAGGGCACAGGCTCTGCAATCAAACTGTCTTTAGAGTTGAACCCCAGAGATCCCAGGTATCAGCTCTAATTCCTTTAGAAATCACTTAACCTCTTCATACAGAATTTGGTTTTTAAAATATATTTATGCAGTTGGAGTGCTCACATTGCCAATATCTTAAGGTTAAAGAGAATAATCTAGTATATGTAATTTAGTATATGGAAAATCTTAGAAGAGTACTGGGCTCACATAAAGCTCCAGAGGAAATGCTCCCAAGTATTTTACGGTTCTACATGTTTGAAAGTTAATGCAAGTGATTTAGTGTGCATATGTTTATTTTACAACTGTTTGCATAATATTGTTTATAATACTCATCTATCTATCATGGTGTATATGGGATTTCCCTTCTTTTAAAGTTATTTTATTTTTGAGACACTGTCTTAGATTAGTGCTTTCCCTTCTGAAGCCTCTCAGGTATAGGTTAAAACTGTACATTTCCATGTCTAACTACAGAATTTAGCTTTCTTTTGTGAGACATTTGGTTAAATATGAACTTTGTACAACAACAAATCTGTAATGAAGCCTTATATGTCTCCTTTCAGTCATGAGAGATATTTTTTTCTGCAGTTTCTATAGAACAATAGGATTTACCAATCTTAAGTTTTATTTATTCATTAGACACAGAAAAAAAACCTTTTCTAGTTCATCTCTCCCACACTGGTCCTTTCCGTGAACTCCTTCATCCTGCCTCTGTCCCTTGTTGAGGTGACTTCTGAAGCTTAACCATGATGCATCAGTGAGGAGAGGTAGGAGTACACCACAACATTTTTGTCCTAGTAGGCTTGCTAAGTGCTGCACACCTCTCTAGGTTGGTATCTCTAGCTGGTTTTAGTGGTTAAAAGTTGTCACTTAACACAATTACTTTCTGGTAATCATGGTTCACTGCTGTTTCAACACCTTCAGCAAGTGTGTAGTCTCCATAGGACTGTTAGCACAAATGGAGCCAAATGGTTTTCTAGGAACCCGGTAGGTGTAGGAAGGCACCCCTGCCCCTCACTCAGAGCCATTGCCCCTGTCTAGTGTTCTGATTTGCTCCTGTGTAAGGCCGACTATAGGAATCCCTGGAAACCCTCACATACACGTCAGACTTGGGAGGGTCATATGACCTCTCTTGATGTTTGTGTTGGCATCTCCTAATTTTCTGGATGCTTCTACTTTGCCTCTGCATAGAGTTCTATCCCAAGAAAGGAAAAGCATTCACATTTAATTTCTCAACTTTATCTCTTTCTGCTAGTTAGGGCTCCTTGTCTGGAAGGACTTCTTTGGCCCGCCTTCCCTCAGTCTGACCACTTTTGATCAATCACAAATGTTGAACGAATGTAGAAAGCAAAACAGGGGCTTGGGCGATATCTCAGTTGGTAAAGTGATTGAGGTGCAACTGTGATGATGTGAGCTTGATCCCCAGCACCTGGGCCAGAAGCCCTGCTTAGTGGCATGTGCTTATGACCCCAGCATTGTGGAAGTGGAGATAGGAAGGCGGTTGAGGTTTATTGGTTTAGCAGCCTTACAGTGGGCGAGCCTCAGACCTTGGAGTCACTACCTCAAAACAAAGTGGATGGTGCCTTAAAACAGCACCCACTATAAAGCTTGAGCCTCCACATACACCTGAACACACATTCTCACTTGTACACATACATGTACTTGTCCACACGAAGCAGTCCCTGTATACATGAAAGAAAGAGAAGAATCTCTTAATGCAAAGAGCATAAAGCATAGAAAGGAATCGGGAGATATTAAACCTGCATTATAAATCCAAGTATGAAGCACTCCTCAGAACAAACATTCAAGGAAGATAAATCTGGATATTGATGGGATAGGGAGCATGCGGTTCCTGTAGTTCTGACTTACTGGGCAACAAGCATGAACCCTATTTGAGAGAGCACTTCTGGGGCCACAAGTCTGGCTGCACTGGATAATTACTGCGGACAACAGGCAGTGCCTCTAGCAGCTTCATATCTTCTAGCTACAGAGAGTTGACATGGAGAGCACAGCATCAGAACTCTGAAGAGGGGATGGGAGGGTGGTGTCACCAACCTAAAGGTACCTAGTGCGGAATTCAAATGCATGATGTGGTGAATGCTTGGCTGCTCTTCACTCTGTGGCTAGCAGAGTGTGTGTCAGAACTCCCACAGAGGACCTGTGGCAATGTGGGTAGGCACTGCTGCAGCCAGGATTCTGCTGCAGTCTCTCTACTGATGATTTATTTACCTCTAAGAATAAGAGATTTCATGTCCTTTGCCTTTTAATCATAGGCAAAAAGAATCAAGGGGCAGGAAAAGGTCAAGGTGACCATTTTAGACAGTCATTACCTTGCACATAAAATATTCTATAAACTTGCCAATATTATTATAGCCCAGTTAGTTTAAGCAGTTGCTACATTCATGGGATGCCTAGGCCAAGGAGCTATATAGTCTCACATCTGTATGTGGCTGCTCTCACAGATGTCTGTGAATCAATTCAGGTATGACACTTGAGAAGGTCATTTGAAGTACTCCATGGAAAAACAATTTGACAAGAAGAGAGCAGAAAGCTTACTTAGGGAGTGATTGGTTTCTGTGAAAAGCCTCTCCAGACATTAGTGTAAAAAGAGAAGTTACCATCTAACATTCAGGAAAGAATCTAGCTGTTGTGAGGAAAGGGGGAGGTTAATTAAAAATTCTGCATTTTACCCCTGATATGAGATGATGTGAACTAACCATGTGACTGTTTCATAGACCTGGCTTGGTGATGGGTAGGAGAGATGACAGGAGAGGGAGATACATTTAAGAAGAAAGCAAGAAATCCAAGACTGATTATCCCTGGAAGACATATTTGAAGCTATTCTTACTCTCATTAAGATTGCTGCGTGTTTGGAAATGGGCAGATGCTGGCAAGTCTGAGTTCTTACAAAAATTCTATATGTGTTTACATACATACAGGCCATGCAAAGAACAAAAGCAAGAAACATCCATGTAAATGAAAATAGACTATTTCATCATGTTCAGATCATTCCCAGACTTCAGGAAAGAGAAACAACAACAAAAATAGTGGGGCAATAAGAAAAATAATAGAAAAATAAAACAATGATTCTTAATAGAGTGCATGCGCGAGTGCTCCCACACACAACACACACACACACACACACACAAACAGAGAGAGTTTACTGCATTAATTTGCTAAGCAGTTTTTGTTATGTTTCTTAGCCTATTAGTAGTCCTTTCCACATTTACAAAGTCAGGTTCATATATTTGGCTACTTATCTCACTGAGGGGTTAGAGGGGTTAATGGATTCTTGAATATCTACCTTCCAAAGTGCAGGATCAAACTCTATCTCTGCAGCAGACCATAGAGATCTCCTAAATGAAAGCAAGTGGACAAAGAACCCAGTATTTTTCTTCCTCTAGCATTTCCATAATCCCTCATGACACTGAGCTCCGCTGCTGCCGAGCTTTCCCTTCATCTTTACTGTCCTCTGATGTCTGAAAGCAGGACCTTGGCATCCGTAGCCGAGGTATATTCTCCTAAGTGGTAAGAACATATTTTTATCATATGGAAATGGGAGAGTTTTTAGCAGTGTATGAAGGAGAGTGCAGGCAAGACTAAGAAAGAACAAGCTGGTGTGGAAAAGCAGCAGTGCAGAGCGTGGAATATGCCATGTTCAGAAGCAGATAGCACTGAGCAGAACACTAGTCCCCAGTGAGGAATTAGAATTCCCGTGCTTAGCATCCGTGGGAGTAGATCAAATGACCTCTAGGAGGGGGAGTGGCTTGGAATTTTCCATTGTTGGACTCTGCATTCCATACTGATGCTGTATCAGTTTTCTTCCTGTGGTCCGAAAGGATCAGCCATGCTGTTGTGCTGTTCTGTTGTTGGTAAATAACTAGCTTTGTTTGTTAAAATTATACCAAAGGGTTCCAGTCGTGTCCCTTTCCCCCACCCCCACCCCGCCATCCCGCCCGGGAAGAGCTGCACAGTTTTCAGGAGAACCTAAAATAATTTAGATCCGCAAAATACCGTTATGACTGGAATAGTGCTGTTGAGCTGGCTATAATTCATCTGCCTCCCTTAACAGTTCTGCCATTTAAATCGTTTTTGAACATGGAAAACAACATGCCTACTCTATACACCCACGGTCTTTAATACAGCTTCAAAGTTACAGAGGAAAATACTGCATTGCAGCGCTCTGTGTTTGCAGCAAATCTCTGTTGGCATTAGAGTGAAGAGGAGGAGGGTCCGCAAAGGCAGCCTGTTAACAGCCCAGTCCTGCTCGGCACACCCCTCCAGAACACAATGGGAAAAGCAACCTTAGCATGCTTGGGGGCTTGGGAGGCTGGAAAGCAGGCTAGATACACAGGTGCCAATTAATCAGCTGTGGCCTTTTCATAATTTATCAACAAAGTATTAGCTAACAAGCACAGTATGGGTTTGTCAGACAATAGAATCCCACCAAATTGGCAGTTATCTTTGTCTTATTTAATTTTGGAAGTCTGGAGAATTTGTGAAAGAGACTCAGAAGGCAAGGCAGGCATACGCTGGTCATTTCTGCCAGATTTGCCTCACTTTTAACCACAGCAGATGGACACTCCACGCCTTCCGTTCTGCAGTGTGGACTTGCTGAGGGGGGAGGCTGAAGAAACCGAGTTAAATTTGGCACAAGATTTATGAGACGGTGATGTCAATCACTCGCTCAGATACCTGGGCATTCCCTATGCATTTATTGTCTCTATATTCTAAGCATTAGAACTGTGGAGATAAGCCAGGAGTCTGTTTTCAGATTGACAAAGCAGAAGTCTTCATCAGTATGCGGTTATCTGGTACCCTGAGGCCCTTTCTTGGGTCGTCAGGATGCCAGACTGAGTTTCATGTCAGTATAGCCAGTGCTGTCTTGTGTTACTTTTCTTCCAATCTTGGCGCTAGTTCCATCAGTTAGGGAGTGGCTTGTACAGGATACACATACACATCCCCCCCCCCCCCCCGAAATGTATTCATGAAATGGCAGTTAGTATTATTGGTAGCATTTCACAGATCAAGATCATGAGGTAAAGTGACTTGCCCAAGGCCACTCCAATCGCGATTCCCAGAGCTGGTTCTGACTCTGTTTGCACCCCTGTGTCCCCGGGATATTTTGGGAAGACCCCCTTCCTCTGGTGTGCAGAGAACAGAGATCAGTCTCAGTCAGAGGTCCATTTGCAATCACATGTTTTACCTTTTGAATTCTCTTGCAAAAACCTCTTCAGGCTTTTTTAGGATACACAGTGAGTGATCTTTATCCAAAGTTCCTGGAGCATAAGTGTTTCAGATTTGTAATGTTTCCAGACTTTGGAAAATTTCCATATATAATGAAATATCTCATGGATGAGACTGAAATCCAAATACAAAAATTTATTTATAGTTTATGCAACCTTGAACACATAACCAGAAGGGAATTTTATGCAACTAATACACATATATGCATTATACATTATATTGTACTATATGTGCTTTTTATATAAATTTATTGTACATCTGCATTTTGGCTTCACATGAACTCAGCTGTGGAATTTTCCAGTTGTGTTGTCATGTGATCTCAAAACGTTTTTAACTGCAGAGCAGTTTGGGTGCGAGACATTAATGAGTGATATCCAAGCTGAAGAGGTTTCTGTGCACAAAGCCTAAACTGTAGGAAAGAACCAGATTCCTGAGGTTTGCTTTCCTCATGGTTTCCCCTGTTCAGAAGATTGTACCATAGCTGCCCTCATTACTATGGCGTTGTCCTCTTAAAACAGTTGCAATGCTTTCATCAGAAATACAGCCATCTACAATTCTGATCCGACAACCCAGACAACTTCCTCTTTAGTGGTGTAAAGAAAGCCACCGAAAATGTGCTGTGTGAGACTTGTGTTTTCTCACAACACGGGGCCTCCAAAAATCCTGCCTGCCTTTAAACAGAAGAGCCTTGTCTGCTCCTCCAAAAGCATGTCTGTGTGGGGAAAAGCCTTGGTGCAGCTGGGAGCAGCTTGAAAGAGCTCTGGGTGAGCTTTTGTTCTCGCCTGTTTAACAGCTTCAGGTTTAGAGAAGCCTCTGTGAGTTCACCTTTGCATTTGAGTCTAAAACTTGAATCCATTAAAGGGCTCTCTGGAGCCTGCTGTGAATTTCAGTGCTCCGAGAAGGATGCTTCAGGCTCACTTAGCTGGTTTGAAATCACATGGCCTCAGGCTGCACTGTCTTTATTTGGAGGAGGATGGGAATCTGGGAATTAGTTCAAAAGCTGCAACCAACCACTTTTCCCCCTTTGTCTCTAATGTCTTTTATTCAGCTTCAGTTCCATCCCAGGGCAACACTTAAGCACCATTCCAGGAAACCCAGGTCACAGCAGTTAGAGTTAATATCATCCTATTACCTTCTCTATTATTTCTCATGTGTATGGTGATGTAATCCATATGTGTAAGGTTACGGCATTTAGAGAATGAGAAGCTCTTTCTGGGAAGTTTTGGTTTTGTTTGTGGCAAAAGAGGGAGGAAAGGAAAAAATAGGCATAGTTGATATATATACATATATATATCATATATGTATGTGTATATATATGTATAAATGATATAGATATAGATGCTATGGGTTATTGCCAGATCATGCAATCTCTGCCCAAGGGCTAGAGGGAGACAAGTTGTGCTCAATTGAGAGTGATTTTTGTGGTTGCCCGAAAGCTCAGAAACTATTCCTCCCACCAAAATTAATTTTTATTATTAATTAAAAATTTTCATTTTACAGCCTATCCTCAGTTTTCCATCCCTCCTCTCCCTCCTCACCTCCCCCCACTGCCCCCCTGCTCCCTCTAGTCCTCTGTTCCTCTGTTTCTGTTCAGAAAGGGGCAGGCCTCCCATGGGTATCAATAAAGCATGGCATATCAAGTGAGGTAGGACTTAGCTTCTCCCTGTATCAAGGCTGGGCAAGGCAACTCAGAATTAGGAATAGGTTCTGTTAGGGACAGGCACCAATTCTACTGCTAGGAGTTTCACAAATAGACCAAGCTACACAACTGTCACACATATGTAGAGGATCTAGGCCAGTCTCATACAAGCTTCCTAGCTCTGTCAGTACAGAGTTTGTGAGCTCGTTATCAATGCCAGAGTAGTCATTTCTGTGGGTTCCCTTGTGATGACCTTGATATCCCTAGCTTGTACAATCTTTCCTCCATCTCTTAAACAGTATTCCCAAAGCTTGCCCAGACTTTGGCTGTGGATCTCTGCATGTGTTTCCATCAATGGAGAGGGCTCTCTGAGGACAGTTAGGGTAGTTACCAATGTGATTACAGGAGATGGCCAGTTCAGTCACCCTCTTTACTATTGTGAGGAGTCTTAGCTGGGGTCATCCTGGTGGATTCCAGGGAGTTTCCCTGGCACCAGGTTTCTTCCTGACCCCAAAATGCGCTTCCCCATCGAGACTTCTCTTTCATTACTCTCTCCCTCCATTCTGCCACCAATCTACCCAACCTAATCCCTCATGTTCCCATCCACACTCCCCCATGATATTTCTTTTATTTCCTCTTTCCAGAGAAATCCATGTGTCCCTCTTAGGGCCCTCCTTATTATTCTTTACAGCTAATATGTGCTTGTGAGTGAGCACATACCATGTTTGTCTTTCTGGGTTTGGGTTACCTCACTCAGGATGATTTTTTTTTCTAGTTCCATATGCTTGCCTGAAAATTTCATGAAGCCATTGTCTTTTACAGTTGAGTAAGTCTCCATTGTGTAAATGTACCACGTTTTCTTTATCCATTCTTCAGTTGAGGGGCATCTAGGTTGTTTCCAGTGTTATTATGAGTAACACTACAATGAGCACAGTTGAGCTGTGGTATGACTGAGCATCCTTTTCACCAAAATTAATTAGTAGGTTCGTCTATGTCTGTATTATACCTGCCCCATTAATTAGAACAGAATACTGGAGCTTTCAGTCAGCTATGAACACATTTAGAGAGGGAGCAGCTAGCATGGAAAACCATTTGCATGTGAAGAAATGATTAGTCCATTCAGCTACATTGGAAAGACCAGACAAGAAGAGATGACTAAGGAAGCAAGTGACGTCATTGTCCTGGAGCTAAAGCTGAAAGTGCATATAGAGGTTCAGAGGGCAGGTGGCTGAGGTGGATACAAAAGGTTTTGAATACACCGAAGCATATTGTCCCGGAGACATTATCTGGCCTACAGTCCTAGTCAAGTTCTGATTTTTGTTAAACTACCCCTCACCCTCATACTCTTCATTCATGTGTTATCAATAATGAGACTCGTCTCTTAGTCTTTCTTTGTTGAGAGGATTAGTGATTAAGGAGGCAGTGGGTTTAAAGTCCTTGTCACAAGGACTGGTACAAAGAATGTATTCAGTAGGTGATGGATATCATTTGGGTCATTGCTATTCTTCAGTGTTATGAGGGTCAAGGACTGTCCAGTTTTCTTTCACTCTTTTTTCCATTGTTTTCGAGCAGGGTTACTGAGTGTCCTGTTCTTCACCGTAACACTTTAGACCATCAGGCTAGGTTGTGAGGAATGAGCTTT